TACACAGGGGCTGATGTCACCATTATATCAAAAACTGAACCCCTTAAATTCCCTCATTGGAAATACCGGCCAGGCCCTATATACAGGCTCAAACAATTTATACCAGTCCCTGATTTTGAACTCCGCCATTGCCCAAGAGGTACAGTCTGCCCCAAGACTCGCTGCCCCAAGTGCAAAGGAGGGTTCCATTGGGCTAAAGACTGTAGGTCACAGCCTCAACTGGACTCGGCTCCTTTAAACTCCACCCGGGGCGCCCTTTAGCCCCACCCACAAGAGGGGAAATGAGACAGATATTATGGACTCTCCCAATCCTCAACCATTCCCCACTAATGACCCTGTTCCTAGATGGAACTGCCATAAAGGGCCTAGTAGACACAGGGCCTGATGTCACCATTATATCAGAAACTGAATCCCTTAAATTCCCTCATTGGAAATACCGGCCAGGCCCACCAATAAAAGGAGTTGGTGGCACACAAGGTACCAAGCTGATCACACATCCAGTATATTGGAAGGACTTGGATGGGAATCAGGGCACAGTTACCCCCATAGTAGCGGACTTATGGGATCGAGATGTCCTACAGGACATGAGTGCGGTCCTTACCATGGATGACCGTGCCTTTTATGATGATATCATGCTCCACGATAACTTGAGACTATCAGGGAAAGGACAACACCTTGCCCAACACCCCCAATCCTAATGGCCACTGCCCACCCAGGATTGACTCCAGTCTTGGCCCCCGAGCCGATCCTTATCACCTGGCTCTCTAATGATGCCATTTGGGTGGGCCAGTGGCCTACAAAAGAACCTAAATTATCTGCCCTCAAAAATTTGGTAGCTGAACAATTGAGGCTTGGCCACATTGAGCCCTCTCTCAGTAAACATAATACCCCAACATTTGTTATTAAAAAGAAATCGGGGAAATACAGACTCCTCCAAGATCTTAGAGCAGTCAATGCCCAGATGGAAAAGATGGGCTTGCTACAAGCGGGTTTACCACACCCTACAGCTACCCCCCGATCCCATCATATCATAGTACTTGATATCCAAGATTGTTTCTTCCATATTCCCCTAGTGGAACAAGATAGACCTCACTTTCCCTTCACAGTATGGGAGCCCAACTTTCAAAGAACAGCCAAGAGGTACCAATGGAAGGTACTACCACAGGGTATGAAAAATAGCCCCACAATCTGTCAATTATATGTTAATAAGGCCTTAACCAACATCCCCAAGGACCTAATTGTCATCCACTACATGGACGACATACTGCTAGCACAAAAATCTCAGAATACTTTACAGGCTGCAATACCCAGTCTGCTTGCTGATTTAGAATGTCTAGGTCTCCACATTGCATGAGACAAGTTACAATACATCCAACCTTTCACATTCCTTGGCTACCATATAGATACTGTAATTAAACCGCTTAACCCTTCCATCTTACAAAAAAACTGTATATACCTTGACTGAGCCCCAAAGCCTTGTTCCAGGCCTTGTTCTCCCTCCTGGAAAGCCATAATTCAACAACTTTAAGGATCCCTCTCACCCAGTCAGCTAAGGATCTTCTCAATAAGATAGATCATATACTCTGGTCTGCGTCACTCCGACGTCATGACCCAGCAGAACCATTACTGGCCTTGATCCTCTGGACTAAAAATGCAACCTTGGACCTAACTAGGCTTAGCTCTAAGTATGATATTGCCTTCAAGTTGGCAATTAAGGCCCGACAAACAGCCAGGCGCATATTCGGAAAGGAACCTGACAAAATTATACTGCCCTTTCCTCTTAAGCATTCCCAAACATTATGGGCAGACTCCGGCTTTCCAATTAATGATGTCCAGGTTCACGGGAGAGTTGGATAACCACACACACCCAGATAAGTGACTGGCCAGCCTGGCCTGTTTGGAAATCACCACTCAGCCACACACTTCCCCCTGCAAAAACCCCCTACCTTTAGCCACGCTAGCCTTCTCAGATGCCAGAAGTCCCGTTATGGCGCTGTCATTCAGCACATGGGAAAGGAGGACACCTGTTATGTACAAGCCAATCCCGGCTCTGTCCAGTTGGGGGAGCTCCTGGCCTTGTTAAAAATCTTCCAAGTCTGCCAGACTGAGCCGTTCAATATATTCTCCGACAGCCAGTATGCGGTTCAGGCCCTCAGATGTCTTCCCTTTGCTCGAGTAAAAGGCCACAAGGATCCCATCACTAGAACAACAGAGCTCTCCAGATTATTTTAGATAACAGACAATGGCCCTGGCACATATCCCACATAAAATCACACACCAAGCTCCCTGGTATCTTGGCAAAGGGAAATGACAAAGTAGATAAACTTATTATGTCTGTAGAGATTCCTCTACTAGAACAAGCCAGACTTACGCCAACAATTTCACCTTTCTCCTCTCAGTCTGCACCGCCTTCTACCCGACTTACCCATCTCTCGATGCAAACATCTGAGCAGATCTTGCGTTACGTGTGCACCCCTTGCTCCCTTAGGCCCCCTCAATCGATATGGAGTTAACCCATGTGGTCTCCTACCCAATGCCCTCTGGTAAATGGATGTCACCCATTATAACTCCTTTGGTAATCTTAAATATGTCCATGTCATTGTTGACACCTACTCTTCCTTTCTTTTGCCATTGTTCAAACTGGTGAAAAGGCCTCACACGCCATTAAAGTGGTCAAATCAGCAATGCTGGTAATGGGAGTGCCATGGACCCTAAAACCTGATAATGGGCCAGCTTATACCTCTCTACAATTCCAATCATTCCTGTCAACATGGAAAATTAGCCACTCCCTTGGCATCCCTTATAATCCACAGGGACAAGCCATTGTGGAATGGGCAAATAGGAACCTCAAAGAAACATTACAAAAATTTGCTAACCCTGAGTCTAAAAGGGAACTGCACCTGGCTCTAATTGAAGCTCTATTCAGCATTAATTCCCTGTCCTTCAATGAAAATGGGTTAAGCCCGGCTTACAAACAGTGGGCCACCATACCTAAGCCTACACCCCTGCCACTAGTGAGATGGAAAGACCCCATAACATGTCAATGGCAACCCCCACCCCCTTGTTAACAAGAGGGCAAGGCTATACTTGTGTGCTTTTCCGCTGCTACCATGCCCCTCCCTCCTAGGCTGCCCTCCTTAAACCCTCACCTGCCTTTGTCCGCATTTCTGGTTAATGTCAGCCCTGATCAGCCCCAATGTGGAGCAGCATCCATGGCTGCCCACCCCACTTGCTGCTGGATAATTGGTTTGCTATTCCCCACCTCTGCCACAGCCCATGATCTCTGGACCTTGGTCCCCTCGCCACCTATACTCTTGCCCTTATCGCTTCATTCCCCAGCCTACCCCACCATCTATTCAACTAATTCTATGCTTGGCCTCCCCACCACGGACCCAGTTACTTCTTGGGAATCACTCAATGGCTCCTGCCCCTAAATAACTCTCTATGCTTCACTACCAACAACACATCCTCATGCATTGGGCTGTTCAACCTGACTGTCCAAGATTATGCCGGCAGTGCCTCTAATCTAAAAGCACTGTTTGACATGTCTTGGATTGTCACTTACCTACTTCTGACAGGCATAATTATTCTTCTCTTTCTACTTCTTAAATGCCTTGTTCTTTGTTCGTGCAGTCAGAAAAAATCCAAACACTTGGTGTATCAGGCCCTCAGAGCAATACACGAAGATGATTTCAACCCGCCCTATGCAGCCTGACAGACTTGGCTTGCACAAATGTACGAGGCCTCTACAGATAATTCCCCACCTGGACTGATCCCCTGGGACAATACCCCTTGGAGGGCTGGTAGCGAATGATGGGTAAGCTCCTGTTGGGCTGAATCAACCTAAGCCAGGACATGGATGTGTACACCCATGCTCCAATGATGGGTAAGGTTCATGCCCGAATAGGACAACCTAAGACAGGCACAGTCCATGATCCTGAGGTCATCCCGAGGCAGAGCTGACTACAGGCTCTCGCTGGACAGTCATTTTTAAAGAAAAAGGGTGGAAATGTAGCAGGAAGCCTCCAAAAGATGGCACGGACCCAGAGCCCTGGGATTCAGCGAGAATTCACTTCACTTCTTGGCCCGCAAATAGCCCGCCAAAAGGAGCCCACATCTCCGTATGCTGCTTGGGAGCCCAGTGACTGCTGACAGACTGCATGGAGCGGACCAATCAGCAAACGATACACTGACTAAAGGGACTTGGGGGTGGAGAAAAGGGAAATATAAGGCCTGCCCCCTCCTGCATTAAACGAGCCTGCAGCACCTTGCCTAATACTTGCTTCTACCTGACTCCTGGGGTCTGTGTGTCGTGACTCTGCGCCTCTTGCCCCCCCCTAATTGGCAGGGGACCCGATTCAGGTTAGGGTCTTCACAGCTGGCCTGAGGAGAACCCGCAACATAGGAGTAATCTTATTTTATTTTTTAAGATTTAAAGTTGTTGCTTATTTTCAACTATGTGTCTCTGTGTATGTCACTGTGCTGAGTATATGCATTGAGTGCAAGTGCCTGCAGAGACCAGAGGTGCTGGATCCCCCTGAAGGTAGACATACAAGCAGCAGTAGTGAGCCAATCAATGTGGGTGCTAGGAATCAGACTTGCAAGAGCAATATGTGCTCTTAACTGCTGAGCCATCTCTCTAGCCCATTTGTTTTTACTTTTCTGAGACAGTGTCTCACATATCCGACGCTGGCCTTGAATTCCCTCTGTAGTCAAGGATGACTCTAAATACTTGATCCTCCACCTCCTGAGTGTTGAGATTACAGACATGCATCACCACACTTGACTCATGTGGTGGTGGGGATGGAACTCAGGGCTTTATGCATTCTAGCAGGAAAGCACTCTGTCTATTCCCAGGCCCTGGCTAGGAGTCATCTTAAAGGAGATGTAAAATCTGGATATAAAAAAATTGAGAGTTATAGAATTCAGGGGCAGTAGCTCATATTTGATGGGAGGTTGGGTTCTGGGTGGAAGAGGTTAGGACCAGTAGAGAGAACCACCTGAGAATATGTCTCCTTGCTGGAGCTGTACAGGTTTAGGCTCCTTTCTAGGGACACAATCTTGTCACCCTCCAAGGCAAGCTTCTCCTGTGCCAGATGGAACTTCTCCCCCATGTTTTCATTATGATTTCCCATTTCCTCCTCATAGAGAATCACCTGTGCAGGAACAAAAACACATTGAGCCCATGCAAACATCCAATGAGGAAGGCAGTAACTATAAGACTCCACAAGAACAGTCCAGTGTCTAAACTAGAAACCTAGAAGAACAGAACAGGTGCAGCACAGGTCTAAAAGCCCCTGCTAGCACTGGAGGTGGTGATGAAAACAACAGGTCGTCCTATTTGGACCTAAGCTCTTATAGATACAGACCATATCTTCTCCCCATTCTCTCTGACATTTGGTAGGAACTGAGTGAACACTTGACTAGGAATGGATTTGCACCACTTCATTCTCTTTAAAGGCTTGGAATGCTGGTGTCCTTTCTTTCCTGGGCACTCTCAAGAGACCCAATTTGGAAAATGTTGAGCCTTTCACACACACTTCCATGTCAGCAAGTCGCTAAGAGATAGTGAGGGGGTATGATCCAAAGCTCCTCTGAGATTTGCATGATCCTTATTTGTATTCGCTTTCTTCTTCATCAGTCATCCACTGACAGGTATCTCTGGGATGCCCATGAGCATTGCACTGGGTGAGGATGGGGTATACACATAGGAGACACAGTCTCACCTCTCACAATCTTGGGGAAATGAGGTTTCAAATTAGCAAATGACTGTACGTAATTGAGTGTAATGAACCGTATGACTCAAGTTGTATGTGTTTGAACAAGAGGAAAGTCACCACAGAAGGCTTCATGCCATTTCAAGTCATCCAGTATGGGAGAAATGGACCATTAGTTAAGCTGGTTAAACTTGGTACTTCACACCTGAGATTCTTCTCAGGGAAGGATGGTTTAGTTTAAGGTGTTTGTTAGATTAGACACTTCATAGTAATGTATTTGGGACAGAGGTTGTTGGTCCCACTCACAGTCCCTCAGCACTCACTATTTTGGTTTAGCATGTTGTGCTGGATAACTTTAGTTGTCAACCTGACACACCTAGGTAGAGGCGATCTCAATTAAGGAATTTCCTCCATTGGACTGGCCTGTGGCCATGTCTGTGAGGCATTTTCTTGATTGTTGGGTGATGTGGGCAGGTCCAGTCACCTGTGGATGGTGCCACTTCTGGGCAGGTGGTCTTGTGTTGTATAAGAAAGTTTCTTACACTGTTTTTTGTACACAACCCATTCTAACTACAAGCACTTTTGACTCTGCCCAAGGGCATCTTTCAGCCAGAGGAGCAAGACAGGAGGTTAAAAGTGCTGGTGAGTAAACATCCCCAGGAACAGCCTTCAACCAACGGCCAGGTGGTTTGGTGAGTTCACTTTGAGGAACACTCTACAGTATCTTTCGGGGCTCCTTTAGGGTTGAACCCCAATTGCCTATAGCAAGTAATCTGCTGCATTTGGGTTTCTGGCCCTTCTTTGACCATGCCCCCTCATGCTTCCTGGATCACCTTCTGAGTTCGCTGCACATATAACTTGAGCCATATGGTTTAGCACACTCATACCCTCATCTCAGGGTCTGCTGTTGGCAGAACCCAGCCTTAGACAGGCGTGTGATGCTTCCATTTAACAAAGCATTGAAAGAAGCAAGCAGAATTCTTAGAATAAATTTTGCCATGCATTCCCAGAGTGGAATCTATAATGGTGACTGCTGCTTGGTGAAATGTGTATCTGTTCACCTCCTCCTTAGCAACAGAACATTGATTTGACTGAAGGAAGCAATATGCCTCCCACAGCACCACCTTGCCTGACTTCCCAGGACCTAGCTATATTCATGTGACAGTCAGGACAGTTACATATAAGTGAGTATTGTGCAGAGCTTCTGGAAAGTGTCCTTGAAAGGAAGGAGTGTGCCTTTTTCCATCTTCTTTTTAAGTTGGATCATGCAGAATACAGATGTGATGGCTGGAGTTATGGCAGCTACCTCAGGTGACCCAGGAAATGGAATTCTTGAGTGGACATGGTGGTAGGGCCATAAGGACAGAACTTAGGTGCCTTATGACAGGTGTCACTGCCATAACAACAATAGACCTTTTGTCTCTAACCGTCATATAGCTTTTTCTATTACTTGCTGCTAAGTGGTATCATGGTTAATTTAAGGGTTGCTTTATCCAGGCTGAACTCTTGTTTAGGGTATAGTGAACCAACCAGTTTTAACACTTCTTATGAGCTTTATTAAACCACAGTTGAAGGTCACAGACTTTTTCCAAATGATACTTTGTGGGATAACCTTTCTTTGCTCCTTCCCTGCCCAATCATTTTCAGCAAATTCTCCCTAGGCCAAATATATCCTTTAAAATATTTCTATGCTCTTGAAGACCCCTTATAAAGTCCCTGGAGTTAGTTCTTAAGAAAAATATTGTCTAAAAGACTCCTCGGAATTTTCTTTAAATCTGAAAGAGGAATCTGCCAGTGGAAGCCCAAGCTGCAAATCCACCTGTTCCATTACTGAGAACCGTGGTGTTACAGACAGCAGTGTTCCTACTGTCCAACTGGCCTTAGTTCTATAACTTTGGGTATTTGAAAGCTACTTGGTATTCTACAAGGATGCCATCCTTTGCTTTAAAAACATATTGTAAGGCTGAGGAGATGGCTCAGTGGTTAAGAGCACTGGCTGCTCTTGCAGAGAACCTGGGTTTGGTTCCCAGCACCCACATGGTGGCTAACAATCATCCATAACTCCAGTTCCAGGGAATCTGACACCCACTTCTGAGCTCCGTGGGTACTGCACAACATGGGTGCACTTACATACATGCAGGCAATACAATAATACTCATTAAAAAAAAACATATTGCCCTGGAACATGACTATAAATGAATGCCCAGAATATACTTAAGCTAAGTCTGTAGGATCCCAAACTCTGGCCTGAAGAAATGATCTGGCACTCAGTGGCTGACTCAGGACCAATTCCTGGCCATTTTACCAACTGTGCAAGTGCCATGGATTTTCATAGCATTAAAAGCTGATTTTCCTAAAAATATTTGATTTAATGAGCCTTGTACTTTTTTTATATCCCTCAGAAACTTAGAGTCTTTTGTGTTCAAATTGCATGGATAATATGAATATGGATTCCCCCACACAGATACACGTGTGCATGCACATGGGTTCCATGCGCCCCACATGCATCAGCATCGAGGCGCTCAGTTGTACCCCTCTGCCTGGTTTCCTTCTTCTCACCTTCAGAAAGAGGGAAAGCTCCTAAACTGCTCAAGGCGGGTCAAGTTCTCCTTCTTAAACAGTGTTCGCTTTCTAACGGGCATAGGCACAACACGAAGACAGGTCTCTGGTTAATCTCACAATACCTCATCTTCCTTCAGTTTGCAGTGATGGTGAAGAAGAACCAGGTCCGAAGTCTGCTTCTCCAGGATGGACTGGTACCGCAGGAGGGAGCAGTAGGAGGTCTGCAGCTCCTGGGTCCGAATCTCCAGCTCTTGCTGAAGGGCCAGCAGTTTCTTCTTCAGTTGCTGGAGTTGTCTCAGATGACACTGCTTAATAGACCCGGGCTGCTTCTTGTTCTGTAACACAGACAGAAGATATGGAGCTGGCTATAGATGGCCACGGAGGATGCTGCCCTGGAGAATGCATCACATCCAGCTCTCCACCCTTTGACGTTTTCATCCTAAGTGAGATTATTGAGCATTTCACTGTATTCAAAGAACAATGTAGAACTTTATATCTCTACTCTGTAAGAAGGGTTTAAAAGAAGAAAAAATCGTTCTTCAAATTGTAAACATTTATTTATTTACTTATTTAGCTATGTGTACATGTGGGCATGTGCAAGTCAGATGATAACTTTTGGAAGTCAATTCTCTCTTTTTACAGTGTGGTCCTGGGGACCAAACTCAGGTCATCAGGAGTGGTAGCAGGGCACTTTACCCACAGAACCATCTCACTGGCCTCCCCAGAATGGTTCTTATCCATCAGAAGCTATTATCTATTGAGGTCAGAAGGAAAAAAAGCCACACATGTAAAGAAGAGATGTGGTTAATAATGTGCCTATGTGTTGTCTTCACACAGAAATATGACAAGTTTGACCTGAGAAGAAGTTGGTTCTTGGGTGGAATTTAGTCCAAAAAATACCTGGGTAGGGTGCTGGAGAGAGAGATGGCTCAGTGTGGTTAACAGCACTGACTACTCTTGCAAAATACTCAGGTTTTGTTCCCAGCACCCACATGGTGGCTAGCAACTGTCTGTAACTCCAGTTCCAGGGGATCCAATGCCGTCTTCTGGCTTCTGAGGACATTGTATGCATGTGGTACACTTACATACATGCAGGAAAAACACTCATACACATAAACTAAAAATAGATAAATAATTAAATAAATAAATATCTGGGTAAAGGAGCACTGGAAGGAGTCAAGGGTGAATTCTGGGGGTTCTGGGAAGCCAGAGAATGGAAAGCAGAGATACTGCTCTTACCTGGGTACCAACTTCTCTCCTGAAGAATGATGTGAGCTTGTAGGTGTGTGTGTGTGTGTGTGTGTGTGTGTGTGTATGTGTGTGTGTGTGTGTGTGTGTGTGTGTGTGCATGGCACAGGATGCTGGCTCTCTGCTAATCCAAAATCTTCCTAAAATGATTCTGGGCCCACCCTACATTTTCCTTCATTTGTGGCTGCTGAGCACCTGCTCTGCACCAGGCCCCCTGCTGGCAGGGTACATCCTAAATAGCTTTTCTAATCTAATAGGTTTTACAAGGATGCCTTTGTATTTCCTTGTTCTCATTCCTTATGACAGTGTCATGTGACAGAGGTGGCATCCTGTGTGGACCCTAGTTCCCCTCTTTCTACTCATTCTCTAAGGCTCGGCTCATATCTTGCTCTCCTTGTTCTGTTGCTAACCTGCCTTTGTACCAGGACCTGAGATCCAGCCGGCACATCCTCCATGTGGTGCTTCCTATTTTGCCTGTAATTATTTCTGTGCATCTTCTAACCTATGTGCATTATATATTTTCAGGAGATGACAGGCCATTTGAGAGGACTGGATCTCTGTTATCCAGTTTACAAAGGACACACTGGCTGTTCTATGGAAAGTCAACTGTAAGGAAGCAAAGACAGGAGGAGAGAACAAACAGGAGACTACTGGGAGAATCCAGGCAAGGAGACAGAGTGGTGTGGATGATGCTGTAGCAGTAGGAACTTGGAGAACTGACTGGGTTCTAGATATATTTTGAAATCAGAGCCCTAGAATTCACCACCAAGTTAGATGCAAGATGGTGGAGAATCATGGTCATCTAAGAAGGGTGACTTTCTTAAGTTGGCCTGAGTCAACTGGAGAGATGGCATTTTAATGAAATTAAGCTGAGACCTCAAAGAGAGAAGTGTTCAGTGAGAAGGGGGTGGTGGCATCTGAGATAAGGTGAAGGAGACTCAGCCCAGGTCAGAACCAGAAAGACAAATGCTGACTAGGTCTTCCCAATTGGAGTTACTCTCTCCAAATTCTCGTGGAAGTCTTTCTCACCCTAAGTGCCTCTGAATTGAGAAGCTAGATGAGAAATGGACCACTGTGGTCACCAGGCAAAAGAAATCATCAGCAAAGACAAGATAAACATTCAGTTTGGTCTGAGTGATTCAAGCAGTAGATGGACGGTAATGAGACCTCTAACTGAACAGAGCTGAATTTATATTTACATCACATAGTTATAATTGCCAATGTTTACATTAAATATTAGGTGCTTTCATTGTGCTTTCATGGAACTTGTTCTCCACTGCTGGACAAGGAGGCCCCACTGAAAACTCTGCTCCCCTCAAGTGTTTTCTTCCTTTGCTTGTCTGTTTTCTTAGGTCTTCATTTTCCTCTTCATTGTATAAAACGATGAGCAAAGCATTCTGTGTTTCCAAGAATCCAGACTTTCGGGCTTCCCTTCCTCGTACTTGGGTATACCACCTATACTTAGGTCTGTTTGGAATTGCTTGTTGGTTTTGAAGCTTTTTCTGGGCAAAAAATATTTTTTTCCTAATTGGTGTGCATGAAACTGCAACTTGACAGTAATAACAATGAACTGTGAATAATTCCTCTTCTTCCCAAGTCATGCTGAATCTTTCTGGATTTTATTTTGGTTTGAGGTAACAAGATGAGGGCATCCGCAACTCTTCCTGCATGATAAACATAACATCTGGAGTAACAGAACCGATTACGAAGATCTAAGAACTGATTATATCTACAGAGAAACTGGAATTCTCTTGGGTGGGAAGTTAAGGCATTTGCATACTACACATGCCTATGGGTTTGGAGGAATCAAAATTTAAAGACTGGGAGAATACCTAGGGGCTGGAGAGATGACTCAGCAGTTAAGAGCATTGTCTTCTCTTACAGAGGACCCGGGTTTGATTCCCAGCACCCATATGGTGGCTAACAACTGTCCATAACTCCAGTTCTAGGGGATCCGGTGCCCTCTTCTGGCCTCCACGGGCATTGCATGACAGGGGTGCACATGCACACATGTAGGCAATACACTCATACACATAAAATAAAAGTAATAAATTTGAAAAAAATTAAAGAGCACTCGGGAGGCAGAGGCAGGTGGATCTCTGTAAGTTCAAGGCCAGGCTGTTCTACCTAGTGAGTTCCAGGCCAGCTGGGGCTACAGGGAGACCCTGTCTCAAAAAAATATTGGAAAAAGATTAGGAGAATGCCTAAAGTTATTTTAGACCTATTAAATTTCAAACTATTTGTTTTTATATGTTCAAAAGTTTATTTTTCCCTGTTCTAGATGAATAGAAAGTAATATGTGTTATGGATTAAATCTATATTTGACATACATGCGTGCCAAAGAAAGAATAGTTTCAAAGGGTACCAACACACTTCCTATTCTTTCTTGGTCTTCTTTTGTATGTGCATGTGCATGTGTGTGCACATGTGTGGTGCATGCATGAGGCAGCCAGGGGTTTTGATGTCAGGTGTCTTCTTCAGTCACTGTCCATCTTATTTTTTGAGACAGTCTCTGACTGAATCTGGAACTCACCATTTTGATTAGACTATCTGGCCAGCAGGTTCTGAGTTTCAAGGATTTGCTGTTTTTCTACCCTATGGCTAACTGGGGTTTATAGACATGTACCACCATGCCCAATTTTAACTTGGGTGCTGGAGAGCTGATCCAAACCCAGGTCTGCATGCTTGCATTGTAAACACTTTACCCACTGAGCCATCTTCCCAGTCCCATCTATTTTTTTTCTAATGAAAATATGATGTTATATTCTTTTTTAATTTTAAATTGACATCCAGATAAAATGGGCAAGTTGGAAGTGCTTTTATGGAAACAATATTAATTCTTTAGGTGAGTGTCTAGGGTTGGATGTGACTCTGGAGGCCATCTGGTCTACCAAATTTCTCAGCTAGATTTCTACCCTGCGACCTGAAAAGCTGGAGAGCTCTGGCTGCCCATAGGAACCTATTCCCATATTTAGTCAACCTTTCAGCACCACTGTGGTCAAAGAGATTACAGCTATTGCTCCTTCCTTGCCTATGAAGCCACTTGATCACAGAAGGAAATTAATTGGCCTGGCATGATTCGTCTTTTGAAAAGTCACATTGGTTTCCACCCAATACTTTGTGCTTTTCAAGTTGATGCTAATTGATTGATGTTAAGTTCTATATTTTCCCTGATATTGAAGTTAAGCTGACAGGTCTATAATTACCAGGATTGTCCTTTTTCCCTTTTTAAAAAGATGAGCACTTCATTTACCCTTTTTCAGTCTACAGGGACTTTCTTTATCCTCTTGAGTTCTCAAAAATAATGACTAGCAGGTATGTAATAACACCTGCCAATTCCTTAAGTACTCTTAGAAGAATGTCATCAGGCCCTGCTGATTTGCTTAAAGCCAGCTTTTCAAAATACCTTTTAACCATTTATTCCCTCTTCGAGCTTGCACATTCTCCTGTCACAGGTTGGCATTGTTCTGATAACTGGATCCCTGATGGTTTTCTTTTTTCACTTAAGAACTTAAAGTCTCACTGTCTTTTTCCAGTCATTGTCATGAACTTCTTTTCCTATCTTTGAGGTGTTAAGTGGGATGCTTCCTTGGAACTCCAGGTTACCCTTACATCACTTGATAGGTTTGTCTAACTTCTTATGTCTTCTGTAAATTGCGTGTAGGATACAGAACTGTGTTCAGATGACATGCATTTCTTTTGGAGGCATCTTTGTGGTTAGGACATTCTTCTCACAAGTGACCTCTGCTTACTTGAGATTCACTTAAAAAAACTATTTTAGAATGATTTTTCAATCTATAGAAAAATACCAAAAGCAGGACAAAATTTTTATAGACTCTTCACCCACATTGTCCTAATTCTAACTTCTGACACAACCAAACTAAGAAATGAACACTGGCAGATTATGGTGAATGAAACTAGATACTGTTTTTGGATTTTATCAGTTTTCTACCATTTTTTGTTTTCCGGAATGCAATTCAGGAACCTACGTTACATTTAGCAGATTTATTAACATTTTTTCATTGCCAATGGTTCAAAATGGTGAACCATTTTGTGATGTCTATCAAAATTCTACTCATCTTTAGATATTCAACTAGTGACTTTTACCTGCAAGAATAAAACCTGCCTCATATAATTTTATGTCCCAAACCATGTCCTTCATACATCTCAAAGATTAGTTTGACAATCAGAACTCTACTGGTATCTGGTATGCTTCCCATTCCTCTACCAGTGAATGGAACCTGGTACAACTGTTAAAAAGGCCTTCCTTTTCTTTTTAAAAACATTTTATTTACTATTTTTATTTTATGTATGCGTGTATTGCCTGCATGTAGGTTAAATGCACCCATGTCGTGCAATGCCCGCGAAGGACAGAAGAGACTCCAGATCCCCTGCAACTGGAGTTATGGACAGTTGTTAGCTGCCATGTGGGTGCTGGGATTCGAACCCGGATCTTCTGCAAGAACAACCAGTGTTCTTAACTGCTGAGCCATCTCTCCAGCCCAAGGTCCTTCATTTTCTGAGGTGGTATTATTTATTAGGTTTGGCGTGTGTGTGTGTGTGTGTGTGTGTGTGTGTGTGTGTGTGTGTTTGTGACCAGAGGTTGATATTGGGTATCTTTTTCAATCACTTTCCACCTTATTTTTTTAGAAAAGGCCTCTTGTGGAACCTGGTGCTTGCCAATTCAGCTAGACTGGCTGACCAGCAAGGGCCTGGGGTCTCATTTCTTTGTCTCCCCAGTGCTGGGATTGCAGGAATGTGTTGCCACACCAGGCTTTTTAGATGAGTGCTGGGCATCTGAACTCAGGTCCTTATGCTTGTGTAGCAGGTACTTTTCCCAGACACTAGTTTTTCTTAGAGACAGTGTCTTGCTACATAACATGGGCTGGCCTAGAACTTGCTACATAGGCCAGGGTGGTCTTGGAATTGTGATCCTCCTGCCTCAGTCTTTCTCATTCTGGGATTAAAGGTGTGTACTGTAATACCTGGCCTTTGGTCAGCATGTTATTTTAGTATCTCTGCTTTTTTTTCTGTCACATTGTCACTCTTTGACTAGAGCGAGGGGAGTGAGGTGCATGTCGAAGGAAGCGCTCAATCTCAGGGTCAGGCAAGTGCAGGCTGGCAGTTAAAGGGGAGTGTAAATAAATTCTATACCCTAGGCACTGCACTTAAAAATTTTCTTAACAGGATTTTATATTGTGTGTGTGTATGTGTGTGTGTATTGTGTGGTTTGTGCATGTGAGTGTAGTGCATGCAGAGGCCAGAAGAGGGCACCAGATGCTCTGGGTTACAGGCAGCCATGAGCCAACTGACATGGGTGCTGAGAACTGAATTGGGGTCCTTGGCAGCATGCACTCTTAACTGCTAGGCCATTTCTTCAACCCAGGGCTTCACTTCTTTTGCCTTAGTCTTTGCTGTGTTCCTGGATTTTGGAGGCTATATAACTATTTTGATTTTTGAGACAGAAACTCCTGGTAGCCCCAGCTGGCCTGGAACTCACGATGTAGACTAAGCTGGCTTCCATGTCTTTAAACTGGCCTCCATCACACAGAGATCCACCTCTGCCTACTGAGAGCTGGGATTAAAGATTTGCGCCACATCACCTGGCAAAGGGCCCAATGTATTTTTGATTCAAAGGGTCATGTATTTTCTTGACTTTTACATCTTTTGCTACACATAACATCTGATGAAATATTTTACTTTTCTCCCCTAAATGTGATCCTGAACCATGACCTCCTGCCTATTTCCCCGGTTCCTCATCAGATATTAGTAAAAATTCCAGAAAGCCTGGTGTTTCTCCTTTGTCACCATAGTACATTTCCTGTGGAAGGCAGATCTTAAGGGGGTTTTTGAGTCGATGAGTATAGGTCTACTGTAATTGTGTATTTGTATGCATAGTCTGCAATTTAAATTTTGCACTAAGTGCTAGGAAAAAAAAGAGCTTGTTTTAAAGCTTGTTTCAAGCTGTTAGACCTTCTTCTGGGCAATTAGAATAATAAAATGCAATTTAATGCCTTTCTCCTTCCAAGTTGCCAGATACATTTATAAACCACATGGCTTTCTCTGACTGGGGGGAAATAAGTAAACTCATGATAGCTTGGTGAAAATATCCTAAAATGTTAATATTTAGAAAGAAGTAAATTATGATAATCTTCTTCCTGAGATTCATTTAGGAAAACCAGTAGATTTTTTTTTTCTATCCCTGACTTCCTGAGAAAAGGGGCAGTAAAGTCAGTAAGATGAGGAGGGATTGCTTGGTTGGGAGCATTTTTTTCAGGCCATTGCAGAGAACAATTTGTGGTTTCTATAGTGAAGTGGTAAGTCCTAGGAGAATACTAACAGGCACAGAGGAGAGAGACCGAGTCCTTGACCACAAGGAACCTCAGGTTGAAGTGAAATTGCCTCAGCCAGTGAACTGCCTATACCTGTAGGCCAGTGTTAGTCCAAAGTCAGTCTTAAGAAAGATGGCCACACTGGGAAGACTTATTTTTCACACTTGCATAAGAGATGAGTTACTGACTTGCTTAGGCACTTCTAAAGGCAGGCCTTGTAACAGAGAACTGAGTTTCAGGTAGTTTATGAGGTGATCATAGAAAACTCAGACAAGTGGGGAATGGAGACAAGGAAGGGAAAGAAGCAGGTCAAGTCAATCTAGATACAACTGTGCGCAACTGGGCTCAGTCCCACTGAGGAATTCTGGAAAAGAGCAAAATTTGAGTTAACTTTGACTAAAGGGAAAGGGAGGTAGATTACTGGATCAATAATCTCTATTTTTTAGTGGTTGAGGACTCTGGCACTTCACTTATTGTATGACTGAGTTTCAGCATTTAGAACAGCTCCTAGGCAGCGAGGCACATTGATGCACAGCAATATCTCAGGGTATTTCATGCTTATGGCTGACTTAGCAGTTTATCTAAGATCCATCCTTTATCACTGTGATATAGTATTCTCTGGACAATGAACTAAATCTAGTTGTGAATAGAAGATAAGGGAAAAGACAACACCTGACATGTTGATGTCCTTAGAAATAGCTAGATTACATCATTCTAAAGCAGGAATAATCTTGTCTGTGTTACAGTATGTGGGTATGTTTATCTCTCTCCCTGCTTTTTCAATTAGTGCTCTGGGTGACCCATGGTAGAACTTAGTCTTGTTGCTGTCCAAGGAAGCTAAAGCAGTCAAGGGAGCAGAGGTAAGCAGCAGCTGTCGGTGCCTTCCATGACTTGTATTTATCATGGCCTCCTCCACACAGAGCTTGTTCTCTTGCAGGGTCTTCCCCTGTCTCTTGCAGACAGCATGCAGACTCTTGATGTCAAGTTGTGGGTTCAAGAGCTTGCTGTTTAAGTTGCCCACTTCTCTGTCTCTCTCCCCAGGCTAAGCAGCCAGAGAAACAAAAGCATCAATTATAAACGATCAAGAGAATGCTTGCTTTCCTTCACTTAACAGGTTGACAGGGAGTTTAAATTTGCTGGCAATTTGTCCATCAAGCCTTGGCTGTTATTACTCATCCTGGGTAACATTTACACAGGATCCATTTGTGAGGTGTCTGAGTGCTCTGCATCATTCAGACAATTACTTATTTATATTAATTAATCTTCTCCATGTTACTGTGGGTGCATCAGACAATTCCCCTGCTTTTCAAGAAGGAGTCAGTGCCTAGAATAATTCCAGGCACCCAGTAACTGTCTATAAATATTAATGGCTCCGCCACTGATGAAATAAACATATTGGGATGTCAAATGAACTTGTCAAGACTACAGCAAATCAGTGATGGAGTTGATGAGAGATTCTGAAATCTCTTAACTTTCTCTTTACCCATTAACCAAAATCTCCCTTGTCTATAAACCTAGTGCTTTTCTTTGCAGGAGTTCACCAATGGGAACAAAACCGAAATCCCTGGGCTGATCGTTAAGATCCCTGTCTTTGATTATGAATGAGAAGGATTAGCTAATTGTTGCTAGATCAGAATGGAAAGTAGTGATTGAGGTAAAAACAAAGCGTAGAGTGTAGCAACTTGGGTGGGGAGGGGTCGGGTATAGTGTGATGGCAGATGGGTGGGCTCTCCATCACTTCATGATGCCTCCTTCCAATGCGGGTGGCAGGGGCATGAGAGGGATTTAGGAGGAAACCTTCTGAGAACCCTGCAGGGCTTCATTCCTATTACTGTGCTGGCTTTTAGCACATTCATGAGGTTAGGTGTCACCACCTCCAACTTTTAGACCTTGAACCTGAAGCTGCAGTGAGTGAAGGAGGTGACTGACTCTCTGGTTTGACTCTTCAGAAGCAGCTTCTTAGGTGAAGATTTGTATTAAAGAATGTTCCTGAGCTGGGTATGGTGACAAACACCTATAATTTCAGCACTTGGGAAATGGAGATGGATCAAGAGTTCAAGGCCAAGATATAAGTTTGAGGCTAGCCTGGGTTACATGAGACCCTGTCTCAAAAAATGAAAAGAAAGAAAGGAAAAAGGAAGGAAGGGAAAAAAATTCTCCCAAGATAAACCAGTAAGCCAGCTAGGAAGGGGGGAGGGGAGCTGAAGGAAGAGAAGACACCAAGCAAGGATACAATTTCATGCAAAGTCCTCTGGGTTACTTAGCCTGATCCTCCAGGAGACTGCAGTTAAACTTCAGAGTACAGTCTCACTTCAGAGTCAGTCTCTATTGGCAATGAAAGCTGGACTGTCAACTCCACTCTAGCCAGTTAATGGCTGAAGAGTGTACTGTGGGATGTATGCTCCCAACTACTTCCAGCTCTTTGTTCTTATAGGCAGAGTGACCTCAGTGGCAACTTTTTAAGGGAGGAGGTAGGGATGGGTGAACAGAAATGTGTAGGGATCTGAGCTATTTCTCTAAGGTCTCACATCTGGTTAGGAGAGGCAGGAGGACACACCCTTCCTGACCATAGAGTCAGGGCTCCGCCATTGAATCACAACGATCTGCCTTCTGAAATGCATGAGCTACACAACATATATTCCCAGGGGACATCAAAGACTTGAGATGGACATTATAAATCAGGCCTTAGTGGACAGGTCAGTTTAAGAAGCCTCTGTACAAGGCCGGGGCGGGCCAGAGGCGAGTGTGAGACTTGGACACGCCAATGTCAGGGTATTCAGAAGGTTTCCCAGAAGTGCTGCTGTCTCAGCTGATTTATTTCTTCATTTCCATTTACTACCTGGATTTTTTTTTTTACCACTTTACAGTTTAATTAGGTTAACGGCATGGCTCTGTCATTAAAAGGATTTCATTATCTCAAAACTCTCCCTTCTTCTCTCTCACTCCTGTCCCTTGCTCCTCACTTTCAGAAAAATAACAGAGGATGTCAACTGCCCCAAGCATGTAATTACCATTAAGACAATTACCAGGGACTCTCTTAAGAGAATATGTGTAGAGTGGCTTAAAAATGGCATGCACACACTGTCTCCTATCTTGAAAATAAAATCCTTTACCCCAATAAGGAGTAGACGCCAAATCTGACAGTGTTAGAGGCCTTCTCTTGTGGTCACCACCCTGGGAATGGTGTAGTGCCTCACTGGAGAACTGGACTATCAGGGTTCCCTCCTCTCCTGCTACAGACCCATTTTTCTTCAGCATCTATGAGATTGGGTGACAACACGATGCTTGCCCTACAAGAGAATCTAAGACTGCTCTGCACTCCTACTTTGATCACTAACATAATGCCAATGATTCACAGCTTCTCTAAGGGAACAGATGAATGTTCCCTCCTGGGCTAATGAAAATATCCCGTCTGTCCAGTTTGGGCTATCCTGAGTAGAAAGACTACTAACTTTATTCTAGTCTTTCCTATCACTAAGACTTTGCAGCTAGATCTTAAATGCCAGTGAACTCATCTAATTTGGATACTTACGACCAGCCTGGAGTCTCCAAGGAAATGTCTTCATTCATAAAACAAGGAGTTTGGGATAAATTATCTTTCTTTGAAGATTCCTTAAACAAGTTGAATAATAAATGTGTTTTGCTGGAGGTCAAATGAAATTTCCCTCTAAAATAAAAATGCAGCCATTTGTTCTTAAACACCAAATCATAAAGGGGTTTTGAGGTATCAGAAGAGGAATAGAAATGCTTGAGGAACAATGAGATGATCTCTACAGTTCATTTTCAATGGCAGGTGGTTTCAAGAGGAATTTGCTTAGAAATTCCAGAAAGGCAAGTTTTTCTGGGGTCTTAGTAAAACTAATTTCTTGCATAAGATGTTAGCTGTGTTATTTATAATCTTATGTACTTTATGAAGATTAAATTCCAGGCAGATGCCTTTGGAGTATCAATATGTGATAGGAATAGATTTAACCTGATGTTTCATCAATCATAGCTCTGTAACTGGGGCATGAGATGAACCAAGAGTTGTGATGCTGACACTTGGGTACCATCTGGTGCTGTCCTGGATCTGAAGTCATTAGACGGCTGAAATAACAAACCTCTGCTGCTAGGTGAGGTTTCATGTAGATAAGCCATGTATTTAGATCCCCAGGTTTACTCATATGAGATTGGAACCTGGACCTTTTGTTTAGAAGTACATGCCATCAGCTGAGCTACCAACTCCTAGGCAACACAGTGAGTACTGTTACTGCAGTTGCTTCCATATTCATGGTAATCATTAGAAAATAGGCTGTTTACTGAAGCGAATTTCTGTATTGATTAAAGGAGTCTTTTGTCAATCAACATGCCTTCTGAAACATATATTTCAAGAGGGGAAGAAATTTTGCTTCAGGCTTCAAAGTATTGATAGGCAGTTCATGTTTATTCTTAGGGGGAGCTGATGTCAAATTCAAACTTATGACCCAGTAGCACTTACAGAGATCAAGAACATCCTAAAGATCCAAAATGGTGACATTTGGGGGCTTAAAATTTTTTTTATATATTCATTTTTATTTTATGTGTATCAGTGTTTTGCTTGCATGCGTAAGTGTACCAGTATCATTCAGTGTCGACAGAAGCTAGAAAAGGGCATTAGAGTCCCCTGGAACTGGAGTTACAGATGGTTGTTTGCTGCCATGTGGGTGCTGGGAACTGCCTCTGGGTCCTCTGCAAGTGCAGCCAGTGCTCTTAACTGCTGAGCCACCTCTCCAGCCCTGGTTTTGGGATTTTGGTACTTGAACAAGAAAGCTTGGCAAAACATGGGTAGCAGTTTCTAGAGTAATTTTGGAGTCAACAGGTAACATTGTATAGGTAATAATCTGGGAAATTATATGAGGATAAAGACAAATATTTAACACTCAAGGGAAAGCCACTTTGAATCACCACCAACACCACAGCTATTCAACAGATACCAGCTAATGGTGAGAGTTATGCTTTAAAAAGCAGAAGGCTTGGGGTGGTGAGATGGCTCAGCAAGTAAAGGCTCTTGCCACCAAGCCTGACTACCTGAGTTTGATCCTCAGGACTCACATGGTGGAAGGAGAGAACTGATTCCAGGAAGTTGTCTTCTGACTTCCACCCCCAATAAATAGACAAAATTAAAGAAAAATTTGAAAACCAAACAAACAGAAAGCCTTAAAAAGCAATGCTGCTTCAGAAATTCTTACATTTTTCTTGTGTAGTAATACAATTTACAGTTATCTATTGTAATTTGAAACATTAATATTGATGTTGCTAACTCAATTCTTGCATTTACCTCTATATAAACAGTGCATTTTTACACTACTTTTTATGGGAATTAATGGAAACTCATACACGGTTTTGCCTGTGAACACAAATTTTGGAAACAATTATGTTCATGTAGCAAAGAGTAAGGACATGTTATTGTTCCAAAGTCTGTAAACACTGGACACTGTATAAGTAAGTATGTGGTTTAGAACACATGTGGCATATGGCAGAGACTGGATACCTATGGAATATGAGGTGAATTTGTTGACACTTGGGTAGCTGCTCACACTTTTGGTTATCGTGCCCTGGGAGAAGGTCTGCTAGGAGCTAAACCCCAGGAGAGCAGGGCACTCTATTTTGTTCACCTCTTTTTCCTCAGCTCCGGGAACAAAGCCTAGCAAACTGAAGGTGTTCCAAAAACGCACGTTAAATGAAGAAATGACAGAAAATTCATGCCAGACGCTTGTTCTCAGTGGTACTGGCAGCAAGTCCTATATGACTCTAGTAATCCAATGGAAAAGGAGAAGAAATACCTGTTTTAGAAGCTGCTCACCTCTTGGGAGGAGTTGATGTCATGTGAGACACCTCTATACTTACCAAACTGACCTTTTCAATCCTTTTGGGAACAAATGAAGGAATACATATATAAAGTTTGACAAACTCTATATTAGACAAATCAGAAAATCTCATTTCCCTATCATGTCATATAAAAATAATGTTGGCAACATACTGAATATTTATTAAGAACTTTTTACACATAGTATTTAATTATTTAGCAAGCCTTTAATTATTTGAGGCAAAGGAAGGTCAGAGACAGTGAGCAATGTACTCCAAGTCATTCTGCTATTTGATGTGGATCCAGAGCCATTGAGGTTTGAGTCTGGGCTCTTAAATGCTGCATTCGGCTGCCCTCTCTCTCCATGGTATTTTCTGATGCTTATACCTGGAATTTTGAGTCACGAAGCCCAAAAGAAGTCCCTTGTAAGAAAGGTTCAAACCCACATATGTAGAAAGTCAGAAGCCTTACCTCATTTTTCAGTCTGTTGGCAGCTCGCAATTCTCCTTTAAACTGCTTTAGCATTTTTGTGAGCTTTGTTATAAACCTGAAAAAGTCCAAGTGTTTAAGAAGGAAAAAGTATAAATGAATCCAGTCCTTTAAAAGATTTTCACAGCTGGATCTGGACCCTCAGCAGGGGAGTTGGAAAATTTTCCTAAACTGCTAACAGTACCAACTTTTCTACCCATCTGTTTATGTTTTCAGTTGTGTTAAAACCTTCATGAGGGAGGCAGGACCATGGTTTTTACATCTTTCCCAGAAAACCCACTATGTGGTAGACCAAATAGTTCCTGAATTCACCCTCCTTGAGAAGAGAAAGATCTGAATTGAGCTTACCTTCTAGATTTCTAAGTACTCTGTGGCTCAGATATAGTCAACATTTAACTTTTTATGGACCAGACAGGGTGTATGTGACCTAGTCTCATAACTCTGGGAGGCAGGAACTGCTATCCTCATTCTAGAGAGGAAGAAACTGAAGCCCAGAGAAGCTAAGTAGCTTACCCAAGGTCACACAAGCTCTCTTACTACTCCATGAAGATCTCCTACTCATTTTGTAACTATTGATTTGAAATGTCCAATGATGTAAAGGTTTTGAAGTATCAATTTGCCATTATGGTAGCACTTGTAAAATTAGGAATCTTATAAAGTGCTGACAATTATCTAAATTAAGAAGCCTCCAAGGAAACCAGAGATGGTTTTACATGTGTGGGTATGTAAGTATAGGGTGATACATTTGAGGTCATAATGCCCTGAACTTATTAAAATAATCAAAATCATTATTTTCTTAACTAGAGGAAATTTCTACAAAGTACTTACCTGCAGAATAGTTCCAAGAATGAGATCAGAACACTCATTTTCCGTAATAAATTACCTCCCCCATCCTTAATCTAAGCCAATAAGTAGAAAGAATACATGGAATTTGGAATGTTTTATGGAGTGGAATTCTGACTTTCTACATTCTGGACCCTCTTAAGTCTTTCGTGCACAGTGGTGCATCATGGGAATGATGGCGTTGCTCAGCCTTATCTGTAGGGATAGGTTGGGTGATGTTGCAGAAACAACCCCCAAATCCTAGTGGCTAAAAACTATGAAGGCTTATTTTTCACATAGGCTACATGCCCTTGTGAGTCATTCGGGGCTCTGCTCACATTGTCCTCCCTTTCCCCCTTATTGTCCCCAGTTGGTGGAACCTCTATTATCTACTATGTTGTCTGTTACCACGGTTACAGAAAGGGAACTTGGTGAATTAAGTACTGGTTCCTGAAGTGGAAGTGAATCACTTTACTTCTGCTTACATTTTGTTGGCCCAAACAGATTCCACAGCCACTCCTAGCTTCCTTTGCTCTCCAAAGAGAATATGGGGAACACCACAAATGGCTTCTAGATTAGCCAAGGCAGAAGATTAAAATGAATGTGGCATCACTGAACCATTGACAGGGCTGTGGGGTACCAAAGCCTCAAAACCTAGTTCGAAACTGAATTTGAAGAGTGACCTTCATGGCCTGTCCTAGCCCTCAAAAAGTTCACCGATTTTATGTTCTAGCATGACAAATATCTTTCTTTGGAAAGAGCTATAAACTCAATCTGAACATCACACACTAAAAATATGTCCTTGAAAATGACATTTCTCCAGGAGGACCCACTATACCATCAGTAGATGATTCTCAAATAAAATCTTAATTTGAAGAGTGACCTTCATGGCCTGTCCTAGCCCTCAAAAAGTTCACCGATTTTATGTTCTAGCATGACAAATATCTTTCTTTGGAAAGAGCTATAAACTCAATCTGAACATCACACACTAAAAATATGTCCTTGAAAATGACATTTCTCCAGGAGGACCCACTATACCATCAGTAGATGATTCTCAAATAAAATCTTATCTAAAACACACACACACACACACACACACACACACACACACACGCTTCCTCTTACTAGATTTTTTTTTTTTTTTTTGGTCTTTTTGAGAAAGGGTCTCCCTGTAGCCTCAGCTGTCATGGAACTCACTATGTGGACTAGGCTGGCCTTGAACTCACAGAGATCCGCCTGCCTCTGCCTCCCAAGTGCTGGGATTAAAGGCATGTGTCACCACGCCTGGCAGATTGCAATAGTTTTATCCAAGAGTATTTTAAAAGAAAAGTGGAAGGTACAGGCTCCAATATTCACATGGAATGTACTGGACTGCAGTAAGTAAAGTAAGAGGAAAAAGAGCTGAATTTTGTTCCACAGGGAAGACATGGTACTCCTGTGATTCATTAGCAATAACAGTGGTGGGCAATTTTGAAGTGCTTATGGTTGAGAAAAAAAGAAAGTATGATAAATTTTCAAGGCATCTGACAGTAATTAATATTTTCCAGATGGATTAAAAAAAAAGAGTCTTGAGGGAGGTTCCACACTTTATGAAATCATCATCTTGAACCCTCACAATGCTCTCTGATGAGGGTGGCTATACAGGTTATTTTGTGAAGGATACTCATCCCAGACAGAATGGGCTACTCTATCAGACCCCTGGTTACTGATCCTCTCGGCCCAGGTTGTCATTAATGCCATCTCTCTTCTCAAACCCTGGTTCTTACATCTTTGTCTCCTGCATCTCTGTCGAGACCATCACGTCTTCATGTCTCATCTGTTACATCCACCAGGGAACTGTTTTTTTCTTTTCCAAAGTCCTGCCCTCTGGTTTTCAAAACAGTCTCTCCTGGTCACAGCTGTGCCCACGAAAAAATTATTATCATCTAAATAAAAACATAGATGACTGGGAAATAAATCTGTGGGCAGAAGAGCTTGCTGTGCAAGCTTGATGACCCTAGTTTCATCCCTGAAACCCATGTTAAAAAAAAAGTTGGATGCGGTGTCACACACCTGTAATACCAGGCCTCCTACAGTAACATGAGAAGCAGAGAGTTCTGCTAGAACTAGAGTTGGCTAGAAGCTTGCAGGCCAGCTAGCCTAGAGGACCTTGTGTGGCTGAAACCAGGGAGATCTTGCCTCATAAGGTAAAAGGTAAGGTACAAGTCTTGAAAGTTGTCCTCTGACTTTCACACACATGTCATGGCATAATATGGATATGCGCCCACGTGCGCGCGTGCACACACACACACACACACACACACACACACACACACACTCTCTAAATAAATGCTTTGAGCCAGTTGGTCCTGTCTCACTATTGGAAGATAATCTTCTATGGTCTTGAT